CTTCCGAGAAGCTGGAACTACAGGCGCGCGCTACCACGCCCGGCTAATTTTTTGGTTTATTGTAGAGATGAGGTCTCGCCAAGTTGCCCAGGTGGGCAATCCATTCACCTCAGCCTCCCAAAGGTGCGGGATTACAGGCTGAGCCACCGAGCCCGACTTCATTTTAGTTATTCTTTGGAAGTCTTTCTTTTAAGCATTTTATGCTTAATATTCTTTATACTCTTTGTAGTTATGAACAGCTAGTAGTGGAAGTAAAAATACTTTCCTTTTCTCATACCAGATTTAAGCTGTCTGGTTTTTTAAAAAATATTTCTGCTATGCGACTTTCACAGCATTTGGGACCAGTTTTAGATTTTTTTCATTAATTTGGTTGTTTCTGCTTTTACCCCTTCTTTCTCATTAGAGTTTAGTGTATGTGCAGCTGCCTTTCATGGAAGACATGCGGCAATACATGTTTTCATCCTTGAAAAATAATAAGAAATACACTCCCACTGGTAAGTCTAATTCCACTTAGAGCCCTCATTGGCTCTACGCACAGACTGTTCTTGGAACAGTCATTGGTCAGGGCTAGGATTTCAAAGGGTAGAATTAGTTGGATTTCAATCATACACTTATACACAGTATCAATAAAGGTGGTTCACCAGGTGTGTTTCCAGGAGTGGGGAGACCCTAACCCTAACCCACCAAATGCTGTCTAGTTCCCCCTTCTGACTCAGAGCATATGTTGAGGTAGCAGCTTGTTGGTAGTGTATGTCCACCTCTAGTTGTGAGCAGAAGGTTTTCCCCTGCTGAAGCAAATCAGCATGCAGTATCAAACTTGTGACTTCAGTGTTCTACATAAAATCTGATTCAACTTGGAACATAAAAGTGACACTGTTGGAGATTATCTTTTTCTTTGCCCTTTCTTTGTAGTTTGCAGTAGCAGTCCAAGTTTCATTGTTACTTATCTCTTACTTCTAGGAGTTTCTTCAGGCTTGATGAGACAGGCGTTTATTAAGTACCGGCTGCAAATTTCAGGGTGTGATGCAGAGTGCTTATCACAGACACAGGTCCTGTTTTCAGAGAGCCCACCATTTAAGACAGTTGTAATAAAATATAATGGGGAAAATGTAGAGAACATACCAAAAAGAACAACAAGGGATGAGTAGATGTTTTAGTTTATAAACTTAAATATGCTTTGTGTCAAGGAAGGATTAGGGAATTGTGAGGGGAGTCTTAGAACTGGGTTCTTCCTGTGTGTGATTTTTGGTTAGATTCTTAGGGAGCAGTGTGCTGTAAAAAGGTCAAGGATCAGCCGGGCTCGGTGGCTCAGCCTGTAATCCCGCGCTTTTGGGAGGCTGAATAAATAAAAAAATCAGACGGGCGTGGTAGCGCATGCCTGTAATTCCGGCTACTTGGAAGGCTGAGGCGGAAGGATCGCCGGAGCTCAGCAAGTCGAGGCTGCGGTGGCTGGGAGCGGCCATTGCACTCCAGTCTGGGCGACAGAGTGAGACTCTAACTCAAAAAAAAAAAAAAAAACGGTCAAGGATCATATGGGTCCCTAGTACCTATATCTTTACCTTCCTTCTAGAGATAAGTTTGTTTGCATAACGGTGGAGATGGGCATGGACCTGGATGTACAGAAATTGCCACTGTTTTATTCTGTCTCTACCTCTTAATAATTCCAAACTTTAAATGAGTAGAATATTTCTAAAAGATAGCATTGTTGAGAAACTATCTTAAAAACATAAATTACTCAGGATCTAAAATATTGCATTTCTTTTGATCTGTTGATCTATTTTTTCTGTGAGTTGACATATTTGTTTATGTTTTCTCCATTGGAAAAATGAGTCTAGTGTACTTCCCAGGTAGACATTTATGTGAGCTATGCAATGACTGAGTAATCTGGTCTGATACCAGCTTATAGTTGTAGGTGAAAATCACTGAATGTTCGCACACATAAGTACCAACTCCTGTCTTTGCCAGGTGGACCCTGTATTAGCAAGCTTAAGGTGATGACTGTGCCGTTGCCCAAAACCTCCCCTGGAAAGTCCAAAAGCAGGAAAAAAAAATGTCTCATGATAAATATTTAAATACTTTGTTATTTTGTTGTAGTCATACAAAACAGATATTCGAAAAGGTAAAGAGTAGACGCATAATGTACTTTTTAGGAACTGCTTACTCTTTTCTACCTTTTGCCTAGGAACTGTGAGTGATGCAGACAGTGCTTCAGTTAAACAGCTGAATTGCTGTATGAACCAGCAGAGTGCAAGTTCACATGGTAGTTTAGGTAGAAGCATTTTTGAAACAGTTGCCTTCCATCTACATTGCTTTAGACTGTGGCATTTTTGTTGTCTTGGTAGATTTGGTAGTTTTGTGGGAGTTTTTTTGTAGATACAGGGTCTTGCTGTGTTGCCCAGGCTGATCTTAAACTCTTAGGGTCAAGCAGTCCTCCCACCTTGACCTTTGAAAGTGCTGAGATTATAGGCATGAGCCACTGGGCTTGGCCAACTTGGTAGATTTTTACTGAGAAGCACTTGCTTTCTGTTAGATCTTAGGAGAGACATATAAAAGAGAATGTCATATTCCAGTTCTTAAGGAACTTGAGAGGTTTTTTTTTTGTTTGTTTGAGTTAGAGTCAAAAAAAACTGTCACCCAGACTGGAGTGCAGTGGCCGCTCCTGGCCACCGCAGCCTCGACCTGCTGGGCTCCGGCGATCCTTCCTCCTCAGCCTTCCAAGTAGCCGGAATTACAGGCATGTGCTACCACGCCCGGCTGATTTTTTGATTTATTGTAGAGATGAGGTCATGCTGCCCAGGCGGGTCTCGAACCCGCGGGCTCAGGCAATCCACTCACCTCAGCCTCCCAAAGGCGCGGGATTACAGGCTGAGCCACCGAGCCCAGCTTGGAACTTGAGAGTTTTAATGGAGTAGGGTAAGACATGTACACAGGTGTGCATATATATTATGTGTGATTTGTGGCACAAAGCTTTGTACAGAAAGAGCTGAGTCTGCCTGGGGAGATAGAAGGAATCAGCTCATTCTGGTCCAATGGTGTCTACCTGTTAAGGTGCTGCTGAAAGTTATATTAGATCCTTGTAGAGCCTATGCTTCATTACTAGAGGGATTTTCTTTTTTAATGATTTCTCTTTTAGCTAATTACTGATTTTTTTAAGCATTAGCTCATTGAATACTGAGCATTTGGTTTAGATCTCCATATGGAAGTTGGGTTTTGTATGACTGTACTCCCCTGGAACACTTTTGCTTTGATATGATATTCTCTTGTCAGAGGTTCACTGAACGGTAGAACTGTAACCTACACAGTTACTCTAAATAGCTCTTTTCATGGATAAGAAAACTGAGGCTCACTTTAAATATTTGCATAACTAGAGAATATTTTTGGCAAAACCAGGACTGTATAACCTGCCAATATTGCTGTGAATATCTATAAATGGAAAGCATTTACTTTAGTGGAGGGTAATAGAGATAACCATTTTTTTCCTGCTTTCTGCTTATCTTTTAGAGGCGCAGTTGAGTGCTATTGATGCTTTGATTGACTCCATGAGCTTGGTGAAGAAAGATGAGAAGAAAGGCACCATTGAAGACTTGTTTCCAACCAGCAAAATTCCAAATCCTCAATTTCAGCGATTATTTCAGGTAAGAGAAGAAAGATGAATTGGTCACATTTCTTTTAAATGAAAGCGAGCTAAGTGAAAGGCTTTGGTAATTGACCAGTCCTAACTCAGCATCGTTATCCTTTGAGGGCAGTATTTGCTCTATTTCGTGGGAGAATAATAACTTCCTCTTCTACTTTTAAAAGATAGATAAAAAATATTCTACTCATAGAAAGAAAAGTTAGAATGCTTGCTTACATTTTAATTTTTTGTTTTTGGAAGAAGACCCGTTTAACAAAAACATACAGTTGGGCACAGTGGCTCTGGCTCCTGTCTTTAATCCCAGCACTTTGGGTGGTGGAGATGAGAGGATTGCCTGAGCCCAGGGGTTCAAGACCAGCTTGGGCAACTTGACAAGACCCCATCTCTACAATAAATCAAAAAATTAGCCAGGTGTGGTGGTGCATACCTGTGATTCCAACTACTTGGAAGGCTGAGGCTGAGGGATCACCTGAGCCCAGCAGGTCGAGGCTGTGGTGACTGTGAACGTGCCACTGAACTCCAGCCTGGGCAACAGAGTGAGACTCCTACTCCGGAAAAAAAAAAGAAAAGAAAATATAAGAGGGTTTAATAAAAAGCAGACTTGAGATCTTGCTCTGTTGCCCAGGCTAGAGTACAGTGGTGTGATCATAGCTCACTGTAGCCTGCAATTCCTGGGCTCAAGCAATCCTCCTGCTTCAACCTTTCAAGTATTTGAGACTATAAGTGTTCACCACCACCACACTTGTCTCATTTTAAAATTTTTTTGTAGAGACGAAGTCTTATAATGTTGCCCTGGCTGGTCTGAAACTCCTGGCCTCAAGTGATTCTCCTACCTCAGTCTCCTGAATAGCTGGAATTATGGTTACAAGCCATTGTGCCCAATCAGATTCTTGTATGCTTCTTCAGGCTTTTCTCCTATATTGTATGTGAAGAAGACTTTTTAATTTTTATATTAAAATAGTAGGAGAGCTTATATGAACTGAATAATAATGTAACTATTGTTAGGGAAGAAGTATTCCCATGCACTCTATGAAGGGAACACTTCATAATTACTATGAAATTACTAAAAAGTAACTAAACTCCAAAAACATAGAAAATGAGTATTTCCAAACTGTAGGCTAAAGCAATTTGTAGGTAAAGATTGGAGTAAGGTTAATTGGGGAATTTGGTAAGAGAGCTGATTTATGCTAAGGAAAGGGAGGGATAGACCAAGGTTGAAGGGAAAGGAACATTCCAGACCTGGATGAAGTTAATGGCAGTAACCTATAGTCTTCTCTGACCTCCAAAACTGAAAAAAAACCACAAGCAGCTTTTTTAGGTAGACTTTCCAACAGAGGAGTGGAAGACTCACTTCTAGGGATGAGAGGTAGTGGGGGCATGTGTTGGAGACACCATGGATTGTCCTTTTTGACTAACTTCATGAAACATCCTCAGCTAACTCAAGTCCATATTGGAGCTTGCTCTGATTCAGGGGATCCTCTACTTGAGAGAAACTGCTTGTTTTTAATGTTTGCAATTCTAAGTAGTGAAAAAAAAACTTGTTCTAAAATTAGAAATATGAAGCTTAACATACAAGTAAGGGCCTTATTCAGTGAATACTGATGCTCCTCAATTTATGATTAAGTTGCATCCCTGTAAATCCATCTAGGTTGAAAATCATTTAATATACCTAAACTACCAAACATCAAAACTTAGCCTAGCCTGCTGTAAGTGTGCTCAAAACACTTACATTACCCTAGAGGTGGGCACAACCATCTGACAACACAGTGCTTTCTAGAGTATAGGCTGTTTCCCTTCTTGATCACATGACTGACTGGGAGTTGTGGGCCAGTATCACTGCCCAACACTGTGATAGCATTGATTGCATATCATTTTGCACCATTACAAAGTGGAAAAATTGTAAGACAGACCATCATACATCTGGGACTGTTTATATTTTAGCATTCTTTTTTTTTTTTTGAGTTGGACTCTCACTCAGTCGCCCAGACTGAAGTGCGATGGCTGCCTTGACCTGCTGGGCTCTGGTGATCCTTCCGCCTCAGCCTTCCAAATAGCTGGAATGACAGGTGTGCACTACCATGCTTAGCTAATTTTTTTTTATTTATTGTAGAGATGAGGTCTTGCCAAGTTGCCCAGGTGGGTCTCGAACCTGCAGGCTCAGGCCGTCCAGTCACCTTGGCCTCCCAAAGCATGGGATTACAGGCTGAGCCACCGAGCCCAGCCTTTATTCTAGCATTCTAAGTGTAATGAAGTGTAATACTGATAAGAAAAAAAGTGCTTTAGTGTTTTTGACAAGTTAGTTTGAGGACCTGAAGTCCTGTGCCATTTGTGGGGGAGGGAGGAGCAAAGTTTGCCCAAAGAGCTCATTTCGGAGAAAACAAGAAACGTCTACCACTGGGCAGATTTATCTAGGGGTGGCCTCCATTTATCTTCAGTAAATGTTTGTTGGAATAATGAACAGATACAAGTTGTAAACACAGGCATTTCTATCTTTCAAAGCGGCAAGCTCTGGCAACTTTGAGTTTTACAACTTACCAACTTTGCTTCCTTTTGTAAGGGAGAGTTTGTAATACAGCTTATCTGTATAAAGAAGTTTCTTCACTAGAGCATGTATGCATTGAACTACCCTTTTAGAGAAACAAATATTAATTGCGTACTAACAGTGTGGTATGTACTAAAGATACTATATGCTCACTACTTTCAAAGATTCTTTCTAAAGGAGTAGAGAGATAAGACTAGTAGTTGGCAACAATGGTGGGGTAACATGTGAATAAGAGGAAGAAGAAATGATTGCAAGTGGGTAGCTTAAGGAAGGCATCACTGAGGAATTGAATATTTGGACAGAATTGTAAACGAAAAGAGGGGATGCCTGATGGGAGGAGAGCATGCCATGCCAAAGAAGTAGCATGTGTGAAAGCAAGAACATACAAAAATGTGGGATGTGTCTGGGACCCACAGATAGTTCTGCTTGACTGGAGAATAGGTTCTCCATGGGAAAGTGATGGAAAAGGCAGCAGGGGAGGTAAGTAGCAGGTAGGTGTGAAGAACCTTGTGCTGTACTCAGTAGTTGGAATTTAAGGCAGTGGGGAATCATTAAAGAATTCTGTAAGCAGGTGAGTGACATGGCTTTTTAAAAATAGCTGTAGTGGTGACTTAGGAGATGGGCTGGAGAGCAGTTAGGAAACTTGCATTGGCACATGTGAAGGTTTGAGTTAAAGCTAAAGCAGTGGTGGAGAGGAATAGATTCAGAAGGCATTTAGAAGGTAGAGCAGATAGAATTTGAGGTATTGGATGGTAGTTGCTGAGCAATTAAGAGCAATTGATGATAACAGGGCACTACCTTCGGTGACTGAAAGGATGGTGTTGCCATTAATTGTGGTAAAGAATATAGAAAGAGCAGATGGAAAAGGTAATTCGTTTATTTTCACAAGTGTTAAATTTGAGATATCCCTTGAATATCCCAATATAGACACACTCACGGGCCGAGTTGGAAACAGGAATGCAGAACCCAGAAGAGAGGTCAGGTAAAAACATATCTAGCCTTCATCGTTGAAGGTAGAGATCTTGTCTTCTTTCCTGCTGAATTCCAAGCACCAAAATCAGTTGAGAGGCCTCCATACTGAGGTAGAAAGAGAAGTGGATGAGATTGCCTGGGGGAGCACATTGTGTGAGAAGGATAGAGAACAAAGCCCTGAACCCTAACCTTGAGTGAACAGTTAGGGATAGACTTACTGAGAAAGGCTGTTAAAAAACAAAACCAAATGCTCCTACCTCCACCTCTAACAAAATTCGGAGAGGTAGAAAGAACTTGATAAACTGGCATTTTGGAAGGCATGGGAAGGGAAGAGTGTCAGGAAGGAAAGAATCCTAAGTCAGATGTTGCACAGTGATAAGTAAAGGTGAGCTTGGCAAAGGCCTTTAGGTACTTATAGTTCAGTCTCTGATGATGTTGGGGTCCCAGTATCAGGTGAGTAATGGGATGGAAGCCAGGTTACAATGCCTGGGCAAGGAAGGTTTCCTGGTGAAGGGAGAGAGAGAGAGAGGACAGAGGAATCTATAGGAGGACATGGACCCAAGAAGAATTCTTTTTTCTTTTTGGATGAAATATCTGTAGCTGAGAATAAATGAGCTGGGAGAAGGAGTGAGATATAATCAAATTGTTGGTAGGAGGTTAATTTAATTATAATTTTGGAAAGAAATGTTGAAAAATATCTTGTCAACTGTAAAGTTTAAAACCACCTTTTAAATAATTGATACAATGTTGCTAAAGTCATTATTTTAGTAACTTCTGAGCTATCCATGCAGCCTGTAGTTTTTTCTCTTAATTTTTTTCAAATGGTAAGAATCACATCAGGGAGTAACAGTTGTTTAAAACAGAAACAAATAGATTAAGAACTGTGATTTCAACTTCCCAGTTACTAAAAAATGTCACTTTCTCATGACTTTTTAAAAAATGCATTGGGATTTTTTTGCTTGACTGAATCTTTTTAAGTATCTCACTTATCTTTATTTATCTAAAATGTGACCTTCAGAAAATCTGAGAAAGAACTTGAGGCTTCAGAGCATCCTGTTTGAAAGAATCACCTGAAGTTTACACTGAAAATCTGGACTTTTTTTCAGTAGGAAAGCTGAATAGACTATCTGTCCATTGGTTGTTCTGCCTCTTTTCCAGAAAATATCAATTTGATATCACAGATAGAATCTTCAAGAGTATGTGAGAGGTTGTCTGCTGTGTTGGGTATTTGATTACTGCATAAGTCTTTAGAGCTTTCTAAGCTGTTGAGACATTGTAATAAACCGAGAGAGAGCACTGCAGATTAAGAACTATGCACAAGAAGGTTGGGGGTAGATTCACAGGGTTTGGGATCATTTTGGTTTCCCTTTGTTGCTTTACATTAAACAAGACTGATGTTATTGATGCTCAAGGGACAGTCAAGTAATTAGGAAGGAGGAAAGCGGAGTCAGACTCTGAAACACATGAATATACTAAGGAGAAGGAAGAGTTGTGGTAGGTGGTTGAAATGGGGGTTAGCGGAGGCAACACATGGAATTTCTACAGGAAATTGGTCCTTACTTTCTACCTCAAGGATTTCTGTGTTTATAAGACATCAACTCTTAGATGATAGTCACTGTTAAACTTAAGTGTCTTTTAGTTTTTTAGAATGGAAACTTAACAGTGTAGGAAAAGAATCAATGGAATAGTATAAATCATATACTTTGTGATATGAAACAGTGTTTTGAAATTGCAGGAGCTATTCAGCTCCCCGTTTTTCTTCCGACTTACTAATGTGTATGATGTTTAAAAGTGGGAATAACAGCCGGGCTCGGTGGCTCAGCCTGTAATCCCCCGCCTTTGGGAGGCTGAGGTGAGTGGATTGCCTGAGCCCGCGGGTTCGAGACCCGCCTGGGCAGGCGAGACCTCATCTCTACAATAAATCAAAAAATTAGCTGGGCGTGGTAGCGCCTGTAATTCCGGCTACTCGGAAGGCTGAGGTGGAAGGACCGCCGGACCCTAGCAGGTTGAGGCTGCGGTGGCTGGGAGTGGCCACTGCACTCCAATCTGGGCGACAGAGTGAGACTCCAACTCAAAAAATAAATAAATAAATAAAAATATAAGTGGGAATAACTGGGCATGGTGACTTTATAATCCCAACACTTTGGGAAACTGAGGCAGGAGGATTTCTTGAGCCCAGGAGTTCGAGACCAGCCTAGGCAATATAGCAAGACCTCACCTCTACAAAAAATAAAAAAATAAGCTGGGCATGGTGGCATGTGCCTGTAGTTCTATTTGCTTGGGAGGCTAAGGAGGGAGGGTTGCCTGTGCCCAGGAGGTGGCAGCTATGGTGAGCCATGATTATGCCACCGTACTCCAGCCTGGGCGACAGAGTGAGACCCTGACTCAAAAAAAAAAAGTAGGAACAGTTGTACCCTTATTCTCCTACCTAATTTTAGAATTAATCTCTATCAAAGGAAGAGGAACGTTAGCAAACTGGTAGTTTTATTTGTTTGGTTTTTTTTTTAATGGCATCTCATCTTATTGCTGACCTTCCTGTACGCCTTTCAGAGCATTTGCTTTTTTGAGCAGATATCAGTACAGATAAGATTTGACTCGGTAGTCTAAAGGCAGTCTGGGTGATTGCGTGGAAGTGACTTGCTGTGCAGACCTCTGCTCCTGTGGGCGTAGAGAACCTGCCCTGGCCCTGATTCCGAGGTGTCAGGAAGCAGTGCCCAGCATCCCCCCTCTTGGTACTGCGTCCTGACACCTGTCTACTGCTAGAGGCCTGGGAAAGAGCACTTGATTTCTTCAATTTGGTAGGTTCTCATTATGTGCCAGGCACTGGCTTTGGTGCTTGGAATTCAGCAGTAAAGAAGTCAATATCCCTTCAAGGAGAAGGGCTAGCTAATAAAGAGGTAACTAAAAAACATGTAAGATAATTTTAGATAATGATAAAGGCTATGCAAAATATAAAATAAGAGAAATGACAGGCATTGACTGGGTGGTAGGATGAGGTGAAAGGGCTACTTCATATACAGTGTCCAAGAAAGGCTCTCTGAGGAGACAGTACTTGAGCAAAGACCAGAATGATAAGAAAAAAAAAGAAGAGCCAACTCTGTTGAGGTCTCTGAAAAGACAAAGAGGTGGAGGGAGCATTAAGCCCAGGGCCCGAAGGCAGGATGAGCCTGGCACATGAGTGAGACAGGAAGAGCCCAGCCCAGGAGGGTTCTGAGTGAGGAGGAGAGTGGCTGGTGGCATGATCAGAGAAGTAAGCCTGGCTGCGTCAGGATTTGTATGGTAAGAAGTTTGTTCTCAGAAGACTTAGCTACAGTTGGACAGTGGATGTACAGGTTGGGAGGCCATTTAGAGGGTGACTGTAATAGGCCAGAGGAGGTGTGATGGGGCCCGGGCAAGAATGGTAGCAATGGGGAGGGAAGTAGATAGCTTCTTGGAGAAAATTGCAAACTCGGCACTCTTGGGGTTAGGGGACAACTCTGTATTCCCATCTCTTTCACAGATGCCTTCCTGGGACACACTGAGCACAGCTCCCCTTTCATCCACCACAAGTCATTTTCTAAGATTAAGTGAGGAGAAAGCACAGTGTGATTAGGGAAGGTAAAAGAATTGTAACAAGAAAGTTGTAATCCCAGATTGTCAGACTTGGAATTAGATGTCATAGGGAGTCTTGTGTATTCCCCAAGTAGTTAAAGCAATATCTTCTTTTTATAAGATGAGGCCCCGTTCCAGGAAGTCTACAGAAGATATTGCATCTGTTTTTACAATTGATTGTAGGCATTACCAGTGTCCTGCTAATGAATGTGGTTCTGGGCCAGCTCTGTTTGTTTTTACATATGGTATCGATCACTCAGACCTCCTAAACTAAAGATGGAGCATCCTTGATCAGAAGGTATAGATAAGCCATATAGGATGTCTCCATCTGTGTTTTGAAATCTTTATCCCTTTTCCTAGTGTCTGCTGCACAGAGGTTTACATCCCCAGGAGCCTCTGCCTCCAATTCAGCAGCATGTTTGGAATATGCTGGATCCTCCCACTGAAGTGACAGCAAAATGTCAGACTCCTCTTTCTAAAATAAAGACCCTTTTCCCTCTGACTGAAGCCATCAAGAAAAAGGAACAAGTGACTGCCCAGGACATTTTCCAAGACAGGTAAGTACTCAGTGTAGTTGCATTTCACGTTGGAGTACATAAGATTCGTGGTAGTTTGGGAGTGGCTCTGGAATTAAGACATTGCATAGGGGCCTGCGGAATTACAAAGGTGGGAGAAAGAAACCTTTTATTATTTGACCCTTGCTTTGAAATACTGATTTCTTACATCTCCATTGTAGTCATATCTTACCCTTGCTGTTCACTTAGGATTTAGAGCTGTGTTTTTGATTAGCTTCAGATTCTTGGTAAATTATACTGTATATAGGGAGGCTAAGCAAAGTTTTTGAATATCTAAGGCTAAATTTTACCCTTTTCAAAGTAAAGTGCTAAGGACGAGAGTGTTGGCGTTCATAAGTTTTTGGTTGGGAGGTTAGGTGTCAGGAATATCAGTGAGATATTGTGAAGAAAAGAGGGAAGGAGAGTGGAAAATCTAGCCGTTCCTTAGCTATCCTCTTAGTGTATCAGTGATGAACTTGGTTGTACAATTGAGGGGTATTTGAAGTGTAAACATTGCAAAGTGCTTTTCATATGATCCTTAATCAGCCTTACAAGTGGCTATTAAGTTTTTTCCCACATCAGATTCTATTCACAATCTATCAATTTCCATTCAAAACAAAACAAAAATAAATGAGAAGACATTGTTCTTGCTTATCCATTGAGGTTATAATTGGGTATATAACCAGGTTTAGGTCAACTGGCAACTGGTTATTGGTGACATTTTTTTCTCAAACCAGAATAATCTATACATTTCCTTAGGCTGCATTTTGAGATTTGGATTTAAATCATGATTTTTTTCTTTTTATTTCTTTGATTTTTCTCATCACAGATGTATCTTTATTGACAAGCTTATTATTTATAAATACCCTAATAGAGGAATATTGAATAATTTCTAGAAACCTCTACAGGTTGTTATAAATCCTTAATTTAGAGAATTATTATCCAAGTTGAATAAAAAGCTTTGCATTTTCTGTGACTTTCTAGAGGTTAACACTTTAAGCTTTGTCAGAATTGAAACAAACATTATGTGCTTGATAGATTTTATCATGTGCATTCCTAACACATTCTGGAGAGGTTTATGTTTTTTGGTAGTCTGTCATGCCTTCTTCTATGCAGGAAGACTGGCCCTGAAAATCCACTTTCCCCCTGCCGTCCTTATCTCCCTACATGCTTCTGGATTCATATTTTAGAATAGTTCAATAAAAGTATGTGGTCTTTTCTTCCTATGACACCTTGCTCTAGTCTCACTGCAATCACAGGGCTATTCTCTCTCTGTGTATTAAAGCTCCAGTTCATGATCTTGATTATCTTCTGGTGTTATGGGAAAGAAATAGGCCATTTTCCTCTCCTCCCTTTGATTAAAATGTAAATTAACTGGTTAAAAACCACACCACACAGACCCAGAAGGCTGCTGTTCTGTGATTTGATCCCTGCTGTGTTTACACCTTCAGTTCTCTGGTCTTGCCAGTCACTTTTCTGGAAGCTTGGGTGCGCTGAGCTTCTTATTCTGTGCTCCCATAATGGTTTGCAACACAGCCACATCATCTGCATAGGGCCTGAGAATTATCTCATACATACCTACTCACACTTCTATTCTCTACTCTTTCTTCTCACAAATCTTTGTTTTTGAGAACTGAAGAAATGATGCATTTAGCTAATATTTATTGACTGCCTCTTGTATTCAAAAGGAATGACCAGATCCTTCTGCAATTCTTAAAACCCTCAGTTTTCATGATAAGCCTCCACTCAGTTTGAGAGGTAATTTTCCCTAAGGGAAAAAATTTACTAACAATCGGCAGTGTTTTTTTTATATACTCATTGTCCTTATATCCAGGGTAGATACGTATTTCCTGTAGAAGGTAAGGGACTAAGATTGGGAGTGGACACATGTCTGCTCAGGAGTCTTAGAGTCCTGAGCTGGGAGTCATTAGTTTTCATTCCAGTTTTGTCACTCTTGGTATGATTTTGGTTAAATAATTTTGCCTTTATGAGGTTTTCTCCATCTAAAAGCAACCTCTCGAGACATTACAACAATGAAATCATAGATATTAAAGCCCTTTGATCAGCTGTCATTGCTTCACTTAACAGCAGGGACACGTTCTGAGAAATGCCTTCTTAGGCAATCTCACCATCTTGTGATCATAGAGTGACTTACACAGACCTAGATGGAAGAGCCTGCTACACTCCTAGGCTTTATGGCATGGCCTGTCGCTTCTAGGCTGCAAACCTGCACAGCATATTAATTACCTTGTCGAATACAGTAGGCAGTTGTAACAAGTGGTATTTGTGTATCTTAACATATCTAAAGGTAATGAGTTGTGCTGTGATGTCATGACAGTTGCAATGCCCCAAAATGATAGGAATTTTTCAACTCCATTACAGACTTACGGGACCACTGTTGTGTATATGGTTCATCATTGACCAAAACGTCATTATGCGGCACAGGAGTGTATTTGGAGGGAAGGTGCTAGTCAAGACCTAAAGCAATAATAGTATTGCTTCTATAAAAACAATGACTGTTCGAAAAGGTCTGATGTTCATCTTGGTCTTGTTGGATACCTAGTGTTAACAAGTGATTTTCTCATTTCAGGAGGTTAAGAGCATCATTTGACTTTGTAGTCTCAAAATATACTAAATATTACCCTTATCATATAAGAGCACTGTTTCCTTTTATGGTGATGTACACTCTTTAAATGAAAGTGTCACTTCTTGGACAGGGAATTTGTAGGAGAATTAGAACATCTGAAATCTAATCCTGCATGTGCAACTGACACACATGATCTTGATTTCTGCTTGTCTCTACGCAGGTAGTCTAAAGTTTTCTGCTCTTTTTAAGTCCCCTAAGACTCCTCCCACTTGTTCTCAGCAGACAGCCTCACCTGATTAATGGTTACGACTTTGGACTTCAGAGTCACCCAGTGCGATCTGGTCCTCTTGCTCTGCAATGTGACCTTAGACATAGGTTGCATATCCTCTCTGAGCCTCAATTCCTCACGGGTAATAGGAATATTTATCCCATAGAATTGTCATAGAGGTTAATGGAACAATACATATCGTTCACTGTTGTATCCCTAGAACCCAGCACAATGCCTAGCAATGTCCATGCGTAAATGATTCTAAAAATTTGAGTCACGTGCCTTGCACATGAGTGGTGATGGTGATGGTGGTGCTGATTGTTTCCTAGAGTCAAAGGAGGCCAACAGATGGGAATCCTCGATTTTCTGGTCCATCCTGTGTAAAAACATTTGCTTTTGAAGGCACCTTCCTTCTTTTCTGTCTCAGTGGAATAGGTGCCTGATCCTGCCTGCAGTGAATCCTTTCACCTGTCCCCTGGATCCCTTCTTCTGACTCATTGGACACCTTAGTCCACTAAGCATTTTTTCTCTCTTTCTGTATTTTCAACTTTTCCTTCTGTACCAGGTCCTTTACTTCCTCGTGTTAACCTTTCTTTCATCTAAGACAAAATAAAATAATCCCCCCGTTTCATCCCTCTAATTACTGCCCGTTACTAATTGTGACTGTAATACCTTTCCTTCCAGAAACCAGGCTATTGGAAGAAGCATCAGCACTGCTGCTCCTCTCAGCTCTTGTTCTCTGCTGCTTCTGCACCACATCCCTGAAACTTGCCTTCCAAAAGACACTGAGTGCTCAATTCACTTTGGCTTTGCAGTCCTTTTCTTTGTTGACCTCTTTGAAGCACTTGACTCTGTCAGTTATTCTTTCTCACTTGAATCTCCTATATCTTCCTTAATTTCAGCTTCCCCAGGTTTTTCTCTTTAAGTCTTTGGCAGATCCCACTCAGATTCCTCTGGTGGCTGCTTTTGTTCCCTACCAGCCTTGAGTGTTGCTGTTGTGCAGGACTTGTCCTCGGAGATAGCTGACATTTATTGAACCCAAGTGTGATGCTAAGTACTTAACGTGAATTATCTGTGTGGGTCCACTTGGCCATCCTAAGAAGTAGTTCTTTTATCAAGCCCAATCTTAAAGCTGAGGAGACAGAACTAGAGAAGATAAGAAACTTGTCCACAATCGCAATCGGTAAGTGTTGGAGTCGGGACAGATAGTTTGACTCCAGAGCTTGGTACTCCCAATCATAATGCCATTTTGCTGGAACAGTGTGTGTCCTAAGACGCTTTACTGTTTGACCACCAGGGCCTCAGAAACTCCTAAATGTCTGTCTGCAGTCTAGGTTTCTGTCCCATCCCTGGACAGCTTAGGTGTCATAGGCCCCTCAGGTATAGCATGTCCAGACATGGCTTCGCCATCTTCTTTCTCCTTTTAACACCCCTTTCAAGCCCCGCCCCCTCTCCCCCTTGCTATTGTTCTGTGTGTCAGTGAATGAGGCGTGATTTCCTGGGAGTCTTCTCTTTCTTGTACTTTCCATATCTAATTGTCTTACCAACTTGTATTAAATTTACCTCAAATCTGCCACTTTTGCTTCAGGTCAGTATAGCAGCTAATAGCACTGATCTTAGAATCGCATTTGGATCCAAACCCAAGCACTTCCCTTTAACAACTGCTGAAGTTGGCAAGTTGTTCAGTGTCAAGTAGCGGTAATAAATGCCTTCCTTTCAGGAGGCTGAATGAGAGAATGGAAAAGACTACAGGATTAGTTCTTTCCTCTCACTAACTGCATGCTTAGAGAAGGGAACAGACTCTTTTGAGCCTTGTTTTTGTCATGTGTAAGAGGACATACAGCTAACGCATAGGGCTGTTGCAAAAGTTTAACTAAGGTAATCCAAATGTACTAAGCTATGGGCGTGGTGGCTCATGCTTATAATCCTAGCACTTTGGGAGGCCAAGGCGAGAGGATTGCCTGAGCCCAAGAGTTGGAGGCCAGTGGGCAACATGGCAAGACCTCATCTCTACAATAAATCAAAAAATTAGCTGGGTGTGGTGATGTGTGCCTATGGTCCCAACTACTTGGAAGGCTGAGGTGGAAGGATTGCCTGAGCCCAGCAGGTCGAGGCTGCTGTGATGGTAGATCATACTACTGTACTCCAGCCTGGGCTTCCGAGTGAGACTCACTTTGGTGGGGCGGGGGACAAAAAACCCAGAAAAAACAGATGTGTTTAGCATAGTGATTAGAACATGGCTAGCATTATTTTTTATTTTTTAAATTTTTTTGAATCAAAGTCTCACTCTGTCGCCCAGACTGGAGTGCAGTGGCCGCTCCTGGCCACCGCAGCCTCGACCTGCTGGGCTCCA